CCCCGCCAGAAGTGCACACACGGTAAAAGGCTCAGGCGGGATCCAAACGGCCGGTCTTAGAACTACAGGAGGGATCAAACTCCGCTCTTTCATTCAAACTCCGCTCTTTCATTCAAACTCTGCTCTTGCATTTTTAGCTCACAGAAAAAACACCAAGCAAGCAAATAAAGAAAACTAAACTGACCAATAAGATTTAGGCTTTGGCGTCCCCATCCCAGAGACTCATATAGATAGGTACAAAATGTTTTGACACAAAAGATACATTTCTATCCACAATTTCATTAATAGTAAAGAGAATCAGATGACAAAAAATAACTATTTTTTTTTCTTTTTCTACTGAAATGACATACAGCCATGCAGCTGCAGGATTTAACTGCCAAGCATCCCAACCAAAAGGAAACGTTTTCTTATGAAAGAAGGAAAATCAAGCATAAACACTTTATTACGCCAGTAGCAATAACTCGATAATCGCATGAATACTTAAAGCAAATTCAATAATTTCCTTTTGCATTATTTATCGTTTTTCTCTTTCTACCAAAAACTGGATGACTAGAGTCTTCATTCTGGTGCTTTGGTCTCAACTATCCTTTTTTTGTTTACAGAGGCTTCATAATTCATTTTATTTGTTATTTTGTTTAATTATTTTGGATATATAAAACATCTTCCAGTTCCAGTGTTAAACGTTTGCTATAATTTAAAGTTCATTGATATTTGAGAATATGTTCTTGCCATTATTACCACTAACTTAGATGAAAATGGTCTCAAAACGTAACTTCTGGGACAATTTATCATCCAGATCAATTTGTTACCATGGCAGGCCCTCACTTTACTGAATTATATAACTCAGCTAAACTTGAACCTCTTCTTTTTATACCGGTTGCTTTATTTTTAACTACTAACCCACTTTTCTGGATAAAATGTGTTTTTTTTTTTAAAGACACTCACAAAACAATCTTATATCCGGGGCCACAAGTGCCATAATTGCATGAACAAATAGGTGACTATTTAAATATGTGAATATACAGACACTGAGAGCGTCTGTAATCAGAACTGTGACTATAATAATAATAACAATAATAATAATGGAGGAAGTTGGGTTGCGGTCTGAGAGAGGAATTCAAATGATTGATTTTTGAATTCCTATTTAAATATGTGCTCATTTAAATAAAAAACTGGAATGCAGGCAGTAGAGTTTGCAGAAAAAACCAAACCAGCAGCTCTTCTCGCCTCGCCTTTGTGCTTGTTCTTCTCAAACCGAAAACTCCTCGTAAAGAAGCTTTCCACCTCATTGCTCTCTTTACACATGCACTTACATGCTTCAAGTCTTCTTCTGTGGCTTGCAGTCATATTTTCTGCAGTATTTTATTGTGTTGCGGTGCCCCACCGGGGCAAAGGCAAAAGAGAGACAGCGAGAACAAACATCCATTCTCCGCCTCTGGCCATGGACTCCCTGATTTTTGTCTGTCACTCATCCCAGAACAAGACTGTGCAGCGCTTCGACAAGAGACTTTGGTATTATTGTCATTTCACGCAGGTGCGGACACGCTTGCACCATTTCCTCTGTTTTTTCCCTCTTTTCTCTTCCCAACACATGAGAAATAAATTTAATAGCATGTATCTTGCCATGATTAAGTGTATTCTCACTCCTGTGGTGCGATAATGGAAGAACTGTCATCATCAGGATAGTATCATGTGTTTTTTCTTTTATTTTTCAAAAAGAAACAGGGGAACATAAATGTTTATTGAGCCCCGGAGGCACGTAAGCAAATGTGACCTCATCTGAGCCGATGTAAAGCGTCTGCTTTCAGAGGGGAGTGCAGATGGAAAGATCTGTAAATCACAGAATCCGCTCCGCTCGGTCAAACAGCTGCGCGGTTTCTGTGCACGATTACAGCACAATCACAAATCTCCAGCATCTAATGCGCTGCTTGGGCCTCACAAACGCACAATGATTTGCTTCATGTGTTTTACTGTTTTCAATCCGCAGCTTTTAAGTACGACAGCACATTTGGGCCATGCGAGATGGAAGTGAAAAAGTAAGGAGTACATTTCTGCCAAAAATCTCCAACTTGCAGTAAAACAAAAACTCAGAAATTTTCTGGAAAGAAGACAAACTTGGAAATATCTGTGTTTAAAAGTTACAAATTGGCTACAAAAAAGCAAGAAAGAAATGTTCTTGTTTTTTCTAGAAAAAAAATTTCAGTTTGATCTTTTTCTAGAAAATGTTTGACTTTTCAATCATAAATTTTATTCGTTTGTAGAAAAAACAAGATTTGTACATTTTTATTGTTCTTTTCAAGACAATTTCTGAGATTAATCTAAAAATTATCCAGTTTTTCTAGAAGATTTCTGAGATTGATCTAAAACTTTGAGGTTTTTTTCTAGCAAATATTTGACTTTTCAATCCAAAAATTTTCTTCTTTTTTGTAGAAAAAACCAAGACTTAGAAATGTTTGAAATTTTCCTGTTTTTTTCTAGAAAACTTCCAATTTCCAAATTTTTTCTTGAAAATTTCTGATAAATTTTCACTTTTCAAAATTTCTCAGTTTTTCTCTACGAGATTTCTGAGAATTTTTGACAGAAATGTACTNCTCTCTTTTTTATTCTTTTTTATATGTACAATTCTAATTCAAAAATACTTTATTTATCCCAAAGGTAAATTAAGTATTTTTGGTAGGTGTCCATAACTAAGTGTCATGACAGTTGCTATGGAGTTGTTATGACAACAGTTAGCAAGCCACATTCTCATATTGGTCAATCCTGACAGCAGCGATTTTGTTTAAACATAATTTGGTCCAGAGTGTCAACATACTTTCTTGTTGGTTTCGAATCCACGATTCATTTATGGCTTGCACTGCGCTTGCCTACCAAGATGGCGGCTCAGTGGCGCGCCTCACTTCTGATTCAGACTTGTGGGAATAATGTATGGTGAAAACTCCGCCCAACTAGACACAGTATCCAAAACGAGAAGAAATTGTTGTCCAAAAAAGCAATTTTCCCCTCCAGAAAGGCAGGAATGAAAGTTTGAAATGGAAAAAATCTCAATAACACTATATATCATCTTTTTCCTCCACCTTGATGGTTCCTATATGACCTGATTCAGTTTCTTCAGCTTTTGATTTTTTTTTTTTTTCCACGGCTTGTTATCCCCATGTCTGTGCGACACATCAGTCCCCGGTTTAAGACTCGTGTCAGAGGCGCAGAGAATGAGCTGCATTCGGAAATCTGGAACTGTGAGGAAAGTTTGGAAAGAAAAAAACAAAAAAAAAAAAAAAAAAACCTAAAGAAAAGTAGGATAAAACAGTAACTGTGAAAGATAAAGAGTGGATTGTTCAAATGCGCATGAAACCCAGAGGTGATTTCTTTGTGTTAATCCTGCACCATTTGGAGGGTTTGCAGTGTTTTACTCATTATCTGGAGAGAAGTCTGTTAAATACAGATTAGGCAGCGGAGGGATCCTGAACTTTCCCATGAAACAGAAACAATCCGTCTTCTCCTGGGTTATCGTGCTACTTCTCTGTGACGTCCCCACTCCCACTCTTTCATGTCTGTATTCCTTCCCACTTCCAACCAGCTGTGCTCCATATTTCACCCTCGCTTTCCAACAGATTTTAAATTAATCCCTTAAATTTAAGCAGAAACCTTTAGCCTTTTATCTCTGTTTTTTTCTCTTCCTTGAGGAGCCATCTTTCTTTTGATAACCTCGCTGATTTAAGCTGTCGCATATTTCCTCCTGATAACGTTTGACTTTCAAAACGAGACAGAAATGGATCCAAACATTCTGACTGGTCATGAATTCAGCGAGGTTCAGCCTCATGTTACGTCTGTGTTTAAGGACGTTTCCATAGTTAGAATATCAACAACAACAAAAAAAACTAATGAAAGATTATCAACAGCAGATGCATAGCAGAAGGAGAAATCTTGGTATGATTTGGCGCCACATAATAAACCAAATTTGAAATAAAAGAAGACTGATTAAATTCAACATTTCACATCGGAGCAGAATTTAAAGTTCAAAATCTACTAGAGTGCCTTCACCCGATCAAACCTTAAAGGAGACCTACTGTGCAAAATTCACATGTTGCACATTTTTATAATTCCATATGAGATTCTACTGCTTACAAAAACAGTCCTTAAAAATAAACACGCAGCTCTTTTGTGGCAACAAGTTAACATTTTTGGTGTCTGGAAAATAAGTTGTTTAAAAAACCTCCTGCTTGTTGAGTCACACTGCACTGTTACCTAGCAACCTCAGCCAAGCCCAGACCGTTACCTAGCAACCCCACACCTTTACCTACCAACCCGAGCCAAGCCCAGACCGTTACCTAGCAACCCCACACCGTTACCTAGCAGCCCCAGCCAAGCCCAGACCGTTACCTAGCAACCCCACACCGTTATCTAGTAACCTCAGCCAAGCCCAGACCGTTACCTAGCAAACCCAGCCAAGCCCAGACTGTTATCTAGCAACTTATCATTCAAATAATAAGTATCTTACAGATCCTGTATTAATCATACATGATCTGTATAAAATATATGTAGGTTTTGCATTTTAGATAAAAACAACTTTGTTTATAAATATATTTTACCCAAAACTCCCCAAGTGCTGGTTTTAGCTTCACCCAGTTCAAATTTACTAAAGGAACGCTAAGTTATAAAATGTTTATTTTCTTATTATTATTGAGTTATTTACTCTCATTTTCTAATATATGTCTCATAATATATAAAAAGGATTATATGGTTAAATGAAAATCTGTAGAATATGGCACATTTTTTATTCAATTAATCAATTAATCATCAGAATAAATGATAGATAAATTTATAGCTAAAATAGTTGCAAATTAAAAAAATCTGATAAAAATACAGACGTAGAAACAAAGATGTCAGCTCTGTACTGACATGATGATAAATCTATAAGGTTTGAGCGATATTTAACCAGCGGATGACATGACGTATTTTCAAGGTCAGGAGCAGAAAGTGGAAACCTGCCATCTCTCACTCACCGTGTTGAATCCTGGGAAAAGGCGAGCGGCCGAGGTGGTGTCCAGCGGGATGGGGAGGAACGGCTTCATGCCCAGCGAGGTTTGGACGGTCGGCAGGGTGGGACGCACCAGCGCAGGCATGAGGCCATTTTGACATGTGTTACCTGCAGGAGGACGGAGCAAAAGGCAACATGTTGAGCGACTGAGCCAAAATCTATTTAGCTTCTCATGAAAGCCTCTTTCTATTAGATCCGTGTCATCTGTGTCATCGATATCTCCGTCCCTTCGCATCACATTTGCTGCTTTTCCAGCTATTTAGCACCTGTGCTGCCGAAGCTGCCAAGTCAAGTCATCACTGGTTTAACTGGAGCCGAAGCAAGAAATTAGCACTTTTCCAGTAGGAAAGTAGGTCGCAGTTAGAAGAAAAAATGTTCTTAAAGGTTTTAAACAACCTTTAAAACACTTTTGACTTTATAAAATTTTGAGAATTTGTCACAAATTTTTGTAATATTTTGATCAGATTGAGGCAGAGTAACCAAAAATTGTACTCAAGTGAGAGTAGCACCACAATATATTTTTACTCAAGTAAAAGTAAAACCGTATTTCCTGAATAACTGATCAAAACCCGAGCTATTCAATAATTAGGAATTACATCATCAGACTGTAGAAAATCCAGAGATTTTACTCAAGAGTAGAAATAATTCATAATAAAATTACTCAAGTAGAAGTAATAAATACAGCTCAGTAAAAATACTCCTAAAAGTACATTTTACCCAAATAGTTACTCAAGTAAATGTAACTAGTTACCGCCAAACTCTGATTTGTGATATACTGTATATAAGAAAGAACTATAAACCATGATGAGCACAGGACCAAACAAAAGGCAGCCAGACCACATGATACGGCCACCACCGTACTTTGGGATGTGTTTTCAGCCTTATAATCTTCCCCCTTTTAACTCCACTTGTAGCGTTTCTCAGTATTGCCTCCTGTGTCATTCAAAGTTAATTTTCCATTAATCCTTTTGGCTTAAAACCTTTAGATGGTGAGAACTGAACCCTCAGAGCCACATAAAGAGAGTTACAAAGTCGGCCTTCTGTCACCTGAAGAACATTTCAAGGATTAAATCAATAATGTCTCAGCAAGATCTAGAGAAAGTCACCCATGTATTCATCTTTAGTCGCATTCATTACTGCAACTGTGTCTAAATAAATCAATCCTCCAGCTGCAGCTGATCCAGAACGCTGCTGCTGGAGTTCTGACTAAAACCAGGACGATAGAGACCATCAGCCCAGTTCTAAAGTCCCAACACTGGCTCCCTGTAGCTCAGAGAATAGACTATAAAATACTGCTGTTAGATTATAAATCACGGAACGGCTCAGCACCACAATACATTAAAGATCTACTGCTGTTGTTATAGCAACCTTCCGGACCTCTCAGGTCTTCTGGCTCTGGTTTTGCTCTGCATCCCCAGAACCAGAACCACACTGTATTTTTGTCCACAAAACTTTACTAAGCGTTTTTAGTGCAAATTTCTTCATACACTTAGAAGATATTTGTACACTTAAAATAAGACTTGGTAAGGTTTTGTGTTTTTGCAGTGTAAACACGAAGAAGCATTCAGTTTTTGTTTTTGTTTTGCTTCTCAAATCTGAAACAAACTTCCAGAAAACTGCAAAACAGCTGAAACACAGAGTTCCTTTAAATCCAGACTAAAAATCCCACCTGCTTGTGATTAGCAGTGAGTGGAACTTTGAACAACATATTTCATATTTATTTCCTTTATGATGGTATTTGACTACACCTTACTGCTGGCTTCATAATCTGTTACTGTATCATGTCTTTATGGTGTTTGCCTTGTTGTGGAAATGTCCCATACAAATTGTCAGAAAGTCAAAGAAGCAGAACAATTCAACGAAAGACGGCCTCAAAATAAGAAAACTAAAGAGCATGGCTCATGCCTCTGCAGTGACGATCTCCTTCACGACCATCGCAGCTTGTAAACACGTTTAGCGGTCGGATCATTTGTCACTTTATGCTTTTGGATTTGCTCTCAGACATCCTGCAGTAAAAAAAAAAACGTTTGGCTTAGTTGTGTTGGTTTGTCGTTTTTCAGAGACATTTGAGAGAGATGCACTGATTTAATGAAGACAAGTTTAAGGTGGAGGAGTTAGAGAAACCTTTTAATTCAAAAAGCTTTGTTTACACTTCATTTCTAGCTGTACAACAGCCTGAAAAGGAAAACAAAGGCACAATTAAAACTTACTCCACAGAAAAAGGAGAGTTGCTTCTTTTTTTTCTTTCACTGAAGTTAATTTTCTCACCTATGATCACAGGAACAGAACATATTTTCTTTTAATTTACTTTCTCTTTTAGACTTTGTGCAGGTGTGGCTGCACAAACGAATCCTCTCCCTTGTAATGTATTCCTGTTTCATGCCAGCCACTAATTACAACACAACCAAGCAAAGTACAAGTCTATAGAGAACGCCATCTCAAAATATGATTTATAGTCGACTTGGAGAAATTAATTTTTGGTGTCCTGCCAGCTGCGTTTATAAATTGGCGTAGAATCCTTTAATTAATGATCCATAAATAATATTCAGTGTTTCTGGAAGCGCTTTATGTTCGGTTCTTGAGCTTTTCTGAAGAACATTTAAGGTTTAGAGGTCTGCAAATGTTGAGTCTGCAGGTTGTGACCTTTGGGAACTTTGCACCAATTGACCCTAAAGTAGATTTAGTGCAGCGGTGGAACGTATTATGGTACTGCGCTGGAGGTCTAATGGTAGAAACATTTGAATTTAAAGGGAAAATAACGTATAAAAATCTACTTTATTAAGCTTTATATCATGTTATAATGTTATTTCCTTATTAAAAACATTCCTGGAGTGTTGCTTGGATTCCTTCATATTACAGAAATCCTTTAGGTTGCAACATTTGTTACATTTTCAGCTGCTGTGGTTTGTTTCCACACTGCACTGAGTCAAACGAATCAAAATTAAAAACCTGTTCCCCTCCTCGCCTGTGGTGGCGCTGCAGCAGAAGGAAACGGAAGGAAACGACTTGAAAATCTTCCTTCTTTTCAAAATGTTATCAAACACGGAGTAGCGTCAGATGTTAGCAGGATTTCTCTTTCTGCCATTAGCCATTTCTCCATCTTGTTCTAGACCAGGGGTGGGCAATCCTGGTCCTGGAGGGCCAGCGTCCTGCAACTCTTAGATGTCTCCCTGGCCCAACACACTTGAATCCAACATCTGAATCACCTCCTCAGTGCAGTCAAGTTCTCCAGAGTCCTGCTAACGACCTCATTATTTGACTCAGGTATGTTGAAGTAGAGCCGCATCTAAAAGTTGCAGGAGACCGGCCCTCGAGGCCTGGAGTTGCCAACCCCTGTTCTAGACTCTCACGTTTTTTAGGTTGTTAGAACATAAGAGTAGTGATACTTCATAATAAAATTACTTAAGTAAAAGTAATAAATACAGCTCAGTAAAAATACTCCTGACAGTAAATTTTTTCCAAATAGTTACTCAAGTAAATGTAACTAGTTACTGCCCAACTCTGATTTTGAGAGATGTGACATATATAAGACTATAAACCATGAACTCTATGATGAGCACAGAACCAAGCAAAAGACAGTCAGACCACATGATACTGCCACCACCATACTTCATAGTTGGGATGTGTTTTCAGGTTTGCAATCTTACCTTCTTTAACATTTCTCAGTATTGCCTCCTGTGTTTTTCAAAGTTGATTTTCCATTAATCCTATTGGTTTTAAACCTTTACATGGTGGGAACTGAACATCCAGGGCCACATAAAGACAGATACAAAGTCAAGTCTTCTATCACCTGACGAACAACTAGTTCTATTTGAAGATTATTGGCAGAAATGTCTTGTAATGAGTGAATTTATCTGACAATTAAACTAGCACTTTTTCATCAATATTAAGGTGTCACATCAGTCTTATACAGACCGCTTCAAACAAAGTGTTGCCAATGTTTCCAAAGTAGTTTCTTTCAACAGAAAACATATTAAACTTTAGCAAAAACTGCAGGTGTGTGTATGTGTCTGGTTAATTATTGGTTAAAACATATTTGTTTTTCATTCAGCTGGTAGAAGTAAGAGTAGCGATATTTTAAAATAAATAAATGTAACCAGTTACGACCAATCTCTCACTAAACATCTACGCTATGTGGACAGAAGTTACATTTTGGGGTAATTTTATCTTTTTATAATTGATCTGAAGGTGAATTCAGGTTGACATTTAAACTTTTTCCTAAGAGCAGGTTGGGTTAGCAGGTGAAAAGTGCATTTATTGTTTTTTTTTTCTCTGAAATCAGATGCTTGCTGAGGTGGAGCGGCCCCACAGCGAGTCTTATGAGATGATTCAACAGTAAGAGAGGCCCGGGCCACACATCTCTAGGAAAAACAAAAGTAAATACTCCAGTTTTATTGTCATGTGAGAGCGCCACGCCAGCAGAGAGCTTTCCTAACCACGAGCTGGAAACAGGACAGGGCTGATTTCAACACGTCAGGATTGAAAAGAAAATGGCAGAAAAAAAAAAAAGAAAGAAACTGCCCCTGCGTTCCAAAACATTAGGAGTTAAAGAAGCTATTTCACAAAGCTATAATGAGAACCAGAGGGGAGATTTTTTTCATTTTTATCGCTGCATAACAACAGCGAAAACCTGAGCCAGCAGGCTCAAAAGCGCTGGCATCAAACCAGTGTCATGAGACAAATAAAAACAATGTTTGCCACGTTTCAGTCCCCAGGCTGTGGTTAGGGGTAAATAAAAAGCAAAAGTCATAAAAACAAGCAGAGAATTGGGAGAAGCCACAAACTGCGGGGCATTTTTTTTTTTTTTTTTTCCTGCTCCATCTTTTGCTTCTTCCTCCAGCTGCCGGAGCGCTGCCATCTGTTGGAAAAAGCGCACATGCGGTCTTTCATGTGGAGGCACGTTCCGGTACCAACTTTAACAAAGCATGTCCGTCTGCAGGGATCAACCGTCGCTCGACATGCCGGCCTGACGTCACCGCTCAGGATCGCCTCACCTTGCTAACAGCCAAATGAGCCGTCCGTCAGAGCGAGGTGCGTAGCCAAAAGCGGATCATCCAAACACAGCCGCGCTGGTGTGAGAAGTTCATCTGCAGCGATCTGACATG